CTAAAATTAACAACACGGCATGATTTTAATGAAGAGAATGAATATATTAATATTAATTCTGTATTGGCCGATATCACTGAAATATAAAAATTTTTATATTGAAAAGTAATTATGCATTCTTTATTAAATTTAATTTTTATTTTTCAACAGATTCATATATCGTGATAAAACCTTAAGCTTTCACAACTTCAATGTTCGCTGTTTTTCATTTGATTTTAAAATGTAACATACATAATTAATTTTTAATTAAATTGGAAAATTAACTGTTTTCTCTCGTCTTCTATTCGTACATTAAAAATTAACAATATTAATAATTATATATACATTTTTTTTATTTTATAATTTTTCTATTCATAAAATGTAAAAGAATAAAAGAAAAGAATTATTGAAGTTATTTTTTAGTTTGGTTGAGTTCGTATTTCGCAATTCCATAAAAAAAAACTCGAGTGCTGCTTTCCATTTAATTGTGATTTCCTGTTGTCTGTTTAATTTTTAAAATTTTACTTGTAATGTGAATTGTTCTCGGTTTAATTTTTTAATTTCACGGAAATAGCAATATTTGAAAAAAAAAAAAAAGAAAGAAGAAAATAATATTTTTTTTCTTTCTTCGTTTTTTTGATTAGGCAAAATAATCCAACTAAAAGCAAACTTCATTAATTGAAAAATTAACGTACATAAAAATTTTTATTAGATTGTTCCACTACATTACATTACATATACATATATATGTATGAACATAAAATTGATTCTATAATGAAATATTATTGTGTACTGTTATGAGTACCATCACGAACACTTTTTCCAAAATTTGATCGGAAATTTGATTATTTTAAAGTTAAGAAATTTTTATAAACAAAAAATGATCAAGATTGTGTTAAATATTATAAAGAGCAAAGACTCACTGCAAATCTAAATTTTTAGAATAATTTTAAGAGAGCATTATGTAAATTCTTTGAACGTCATTCGCAAACAATTTGCTATTTGAAGCCTAGCTTCATGAATTGCAGTTCTATTTATCGCTAGGGCAATTGATTGTCAATTTTCAGAAAATGTTACAATTTTTTTGAAAATGATAATCAATTGTGTTACAATTAAATGGATAAATTGAAAATGATTTTAGTCTTGGTTGACATAATTGCCAGATTTATGGAATTTAGGGAGAAGGTCTTCTAGAGGTCGCTTCCTAGTATACCTATGATTTAACAATCAAATTAATTGCTTGTTTGTACAAATAAAGCATCGTAATTTATCAATTAGAATTTTATTTATTAATTTGGTATGAATTAATATTAATGAAATAAAGATGATCTTTAATTAATTACGTTGGCAAAACATTTTAGAACTAAAGACGCCTCGAAATTCATAAAAAACCCCAATTGAAGCATTTATTAAAAAATAGATAGTGTTTTGTATTCAAAAATCACTTTTTCTAAATCAATGAAACTAACTAAAAGACAATCTACAAAAGTACACAAAAAAGACGAAGAAACAAAAATTAACTGTAAATCAAAAATTCTTTCTTGTCCAGTTATAATTTTTTTTTTTATTAAAATTAATTTTAAACATAATTTCAAGCAGAAAAAAAAGAAAGTAACGTATAAAAAGAAACCAGGTTCTCTTTCTGTAAAAAGAAATTCTATTTTAGTATAAAAGAAAAAGAAATATTATTAACGCTACTATACTATGAAATTCTTACGGTGCAGCATAATTTTTTATATCTTTTTTTTGTTTAAAAAAGAATTCTAAAGATTTTTTAAAACTCCATTGGGCATGTATCATGTTTTACCGGTATGCATACATACAATAGAATTTCCAGACGTGTGTATGAAATGCCATTTTATAATTTTTTTAATATTAAATTCTTGTTTTTATTGTTCAATGTTAAAATGCTATTCTTCTTTTGCTTTTTATTTTTTACACCGTTTGAAGAAAGAACTATCTAACGTACGTCTTTTATCATTTATTTTTTTTTTCATACAAATGTTGTAGGTACTTTAATGTTAATTTGTTTGTTTGCTGTATAAAAACATACATACACTGATATTGTTTAATAGAAATTAAACACAAAGAGAAGGTCGTCATGGGGCTAAGTTGAACTTTGTTGATATTGTTAAATAAAGATATATGAACACACACATGTAGAAAAGGAATTTATACGATAATTTTTTTAAAATTTCATTAATCCTGTTTTCGTATATTTGAAAAATGATTCGCATTTTCATATTTTCGGATAAAAAAATGAAAAATTTATAATAAATTTAGAAACAAGTAATCCATGTTACATTATTTTTTAAACTCTTAAATAGGCACTTAATAAATATTAGTATAACACAGATTTGACAGTCATGTCGAACGCTTGGTTTTGCAACTGACAATAACTGAGGAAGTTTTGGCAATTGACATATAATTCTAAAGTAGTATATTGAAATTTATTTTACTTGCGTCATGATGTCTTGGAATTCTCCGGGAAATGTCTGAATTCATTTTTTTAAGTGTAATTTACTTTAAAAGAAGTACATAATTAATAAAAATACCTATTTTTTCATATTAATTGCGGAATTTTTGTTTTTTTTTAGATAATCTTTAATTGATTTAAACTTTTTTGTTTTCTAAAGATAGAAAAGCAAATGTATGATATAAAAATGTTTTATGTGATAAATAATTACGACAGAAATACGTGATAATATTGCTTAAAATCCTTTCATTACAAAAAGTCGCTAATTTGAATGTAATTAAACCTTTTATTATTAGTTTCTTCTTCTATCCATTGACGTTTCTGTATTTGGAACAGTAGTATATTATTATATTTAATAACAAATGTTTGTGGTTTCAAAAGAAAAAACATCTACTTACATATTTTATTATTACCAAATTTTTAATACATTTGGTAGTATGTTTGTACATTTGCTAGTATGTATGTATGCAAATGAATTCTTGCTTAAAAATAGACCCATAAAAAGTATAAAAAAAATATTTTAGGCATGGCATTTTTATGCTCGTTTGTTTCTTATTTTAGTTTATAAATTGTAAGTTTTTTTTCAAATATGAAAAATAAAAACAAAAAACAACAAAAATTTTCCATAATTTCTTTAAAAAATTAAATTCAAAACTTTGTAAATTTATAGAATAATGGGAACATAAAATGGTGGAGCTTAATTTTTATAATTTCGTTTTTCCTTTCCAAAAAATACAATAGAAAATTTTTAATATCTTCAAAGAAAAGTTAAGCATATGACAACTACATAACGTAACGTATTATTTTCTTTTATTAATATAATCGTGATTAAGTTGGTAGTCAAACTTAGACCGGCAAATTTTAAACATTCCGTTTTTAGAATTTGAATTTTCAACAATTGATCATATAAAATAATATTCCAAATATTTTGTGGTTAAAGGTGTGGTATTCCCAAAAAAATTTCCTTACAATATCACATTTATAAGAGAACAATCGGCTCACATTTGATTATTCAAAGTTCAAGTTTATTTTTAATAACAAATGTTTTTTAAGTTGTCATGGTATTTTTCTCTGTCATTACGTAATACAAAAAATATGAAACAATTTTTTTTTTTAGCAAATGGTTGTTTTTGATTGTAATTTTAATTAATTTATAATTGATTTATTGGGTAAATTATAGGTTTGATAACTTGATAAGATATTAATAATATTCGGCGTATCAATGTGTAGTATGCTGTTTGTTGGTAGTAAAATTTGATTGAAAAAAAAAAAACATTAAATTTAAGTGTATGACAGTATCAGGTATGAATGTTCAAACAATAATTACTAATGAGTAAGAAAATTAAAATAAAATAAAATTTTGATATTTTTTAACTACATTATGTCGTATACGCATGTTAGATCACATACAGTTATCTAGACGAGGAAGATATGTTGTAAATTACTAAAGATTTCTCTTTTTCTTAATTGATCTATAAATTAATGCTCATTTAAATTAGCATTGCTTTAATTATAAATGTTATTTTAAAGTGTTAATACTTGACTGTTTACTAGTTAATACTAGACATTTACTATTACATCACAATCACATCTACAGCAGGCAGAATAGAAAAGTGTCAATGTCATATGATATTGATATCTTTAATAAAATATGGGTGGTGATTATTACCATTTAACATAATAAATATTAAATGTTTTATTTTTTTTAGTAAAAATATCTAAATTTAATATTATGTCATTAAATAATCACGAGACACGTATATCAAAAAATCGAATAAAGAGAGTGCAAAATGTTAAAATGACCCGCAAAATTTTTATATAATTTTTTCAAATCCAATTATTAAAATATTTAAAATGATCACATATTAACCTTGTGTATCATATAATACAACTTTTTGCATAAATAAATAATAGTTAAAAATTAAGCTCTTTTTTTATTATAGGTAATTTTCTACAAACAAATACAAAAATAAAAAACAACTTATTAAGTCATCGTTATTTTTGAAGTGATTTTAATTTAATAAAAAATAATGTTTTCGAAACTCAAAAACTGATTTCAAGTATTTTTTCGTTAAGAATATAGAAGAAAAAATTTTAATAAAGTTCATATTTGTTAGAAACTGTTTAAGAAAGCTTTCGAAATTACGTAAATACTTTGCTAAATAGGTTAATTTGCCTATGACGCTTATTCACAATTGAGAAGTTTTGTCTTTTTCCATATATTCTTTATTTCTATGGTCAATCACATTTATGGGTATATATTATATATATATATATATATATATAAATGCAAACTTAAGTGTGTATATGTTGTAAAATGTTGCTTCGCTTGAAAATAAACCGAAAAATTTATGCTCATTTAATTAATTTTTAAATGAATGTTAAAACCAAGTTATTTAACTCAATTGACTTGATAAAAAATATTTTAGTTATTCAAACTAGACTAAAAAATATTTAAAAAGAAACGTAGCTTTAAAAATTTTAGAAATTAGGCAGAAATAAGTAGAAAGAATAATTTAATAACAAATTTTTTTTCGTTTTACAGTTCTGGGAAATTATTTCTGATGAACATGGTATCGATGCTACCGGAGCATACCATGGGGACAGTGATTTGCAGTTGGAACGTATTAACGTTTATTACAATGAAGCATCAGGAGGAAAATATGTACCACGTGCCGTATTGGTTGACTTAGAACCAGGTACCATGGACTCCGTACGTTCTGGACCATTTGGACAAATTTTCCGTCCAGATAATTTTGTATTTGGACAATCTGGTGCAGGAAATAATTGGGCAAAGGGACATTACACAGAAGGTGCTGAATTAGTTGATTCCGTTTTGGATGTTGTACGTAAAGAAGCTGAATCATGTGATTGTTTACAAGGATTCCAGCTTACTCATTCATTAGGAGGTGGTACTGGATCCGGTATGGGTACATTATTAATATCAAAAATTCGTGAAGAATATCCCGACAGAATTATGAATACATATTCAGTAGTACCATCGCCAAAAGTATCAGATACAGTTGTTGAACCATACAATGCCACATTATCTGTACATCAATTGGTTGAAAATACAGATGAAACATATTGTATTGATAATGAAGCTTTATATGATATTTGCTTTAGGACATTAAAATTGACAACACCAACCTACGGTGATTTGAATCATTTGGTATCATTAACAATGTCTGGTGTAACAACATGTTTAAGGTTCCCAGGTCAATTGAATGCTGACTTGAGAAAATTAGCTGTCAATATGGTACCATTCCCACGTTTACATTTCTTTATGCCTGGTTTTGCTCCATTAACATCAAGAGGTTCACAGCAATATAGGGCATTAACAGTACCAGAATTAACACAACAAATGTTTGACGCTAAAAATATGATGGCTGCATGTGATCCACGACATGGTAGATACTTAACAGTTGCCGCTATTTTCCGTGGCCGTATGTCAATGAAAGAAGTTGATGAACAAATGTTAAATATTCAAAATAAAAATAGCAGTTACTTCGTTGAATGGATTCCAAATAATGTTAAAACAGCTGTTTGCGATATTCCACCACGTGGTCTTAAAATGTCTGCAACATTTATTGGTAATTCCACTGCCATTCAAGAATTATTTAAACGTATTTCGGAACAATTTACTGCTATGTTCCGTCGTAAAGCTTTCTTGCATTGGTATACTGGTGAAGGTATGGATGAAATGGAATTTACAGAAGCTGAAAGTAACATGAACGATTTGGTATCTGAATATCAACAATACCAAGAAGCGACTGCTGACGAAGATGCTGAATTCGAAGAAGAACAAGAAGCTGAAGTTGATGAAAACTAAATTATAAAAATTTAAAATCAAATATTTAAAGAAAATCCATATTTAAAAAAAAAGAATCTAGTTTCTTCGTCGTTTCTCTATATTTAATAAGGAAAACCAACAAAAAACTTCTTTCTTATTAATAATTTAAGATAAAAAAAAAAGTAATTAAACCTAACTAAACAACAATAAAAAAAACAGTAAAACATTAAAACAAATTTTCAAATTTTCTCTTTTAACCATAATTAATTTTGTTTTTAAAATTACAAACCAAGCAAAAAATCTATAGATAAGAACAAAATAATAGTAGACTCACTGCCAAAATTATCTGAAAATTTGGAAGAAACAGCAAACCTTAATTTGAAATTAAAACTTTTTACAATCAGATTACTCGCTCTCAATTTAAAAAAGAATAAAATAATATCAATAACATTAATTGATATTATGATGGATATTAAGAGAGTGAAACATAGGAAACGATATCAACATAATAAATAATATTTCATTCATCTTATAGAAGCAATTCATTACAAGTAATAGAATTTTGTAAGAAAAGATTATTCTGAATGTAAAATTTTTAACAGCAAAACAATTTCCTAATGTTTAAAATTTTTTTCAAAGTTAATCGCGCGCTTATTTTGATTCTTGCAAGCAAATTCCCGATTTTCGTTAAAGAACCGCAGCTAAAATTTTTTAAATACTTAACAATTTATGCAAATACAAAATAGAAAATCGTATGGAAATTTGACTTTAAAGTACTAATAAACATGGGAAAATATAATAATTTTTTTAAATATTTTTTTTTGTAAAATTTTTTAAAAGAAGTCTTTCTCAGTATTTTGTTCATAAGTTTAAAATTTGAAAATAATATGGCAACATAAACTCTTGTTGGAATATGTACTATTATTTTCATATTTTATGAAAAAAATTTATGATTATAACTAAATGTTGTTAAATTTTTGATTTTATTTTCTTAAAGTATGAATTGTCTTGAATATACATTTTGCAGAAAAATTTTTTAAGTTTCCTTCATTACTAGTTTTTACTTGATTTCAATTCTTTTTCTGTTTGTTGTGTTTCTTGTGGAATTGTGTACACATTTTTTAGAAACTGTTTAAATGTCGAATATTTGTTCTCTTATATTGGGTGTTAGTTAAAAAAGAATCGATTTGAGATTTATAAAAAAATAAAAGATAAAATTGAGTGTTAAATCAACTACATATTATGAAAAATGTTTTTATAGTAAGAATCAAAGCTAATAACATTCCCTTTATTGAAAAATTTAGAATGATATATTTCAATATGTTAACCAAAATGTCTAAGAAATCAAAATTTAGTTATAAAACAGAAGGAAGAATAATAGCACCCAAGGAACAAAGTTCGAGTTAATATCAATGATAAAAGCAAGAAGAGAAAAAATTTTGAAATTATAAAAAAAAATTTAAAATGACAAAACTAAAAAAACATGAAAAATATATAAAAAAGTTACAAAAAAAAATTACAAGAATTTTTATTTTAAAGTAGCAGTTCTTTTGAAATGAGATTGATTGAATTTTATCGATAAATAAGAACTAGGCCAGGTTCGTTAATGAAATAAAACCGTTGGCTTTCATTGGAAAAATTTTCAATTTTTCTAAAAGTAGTTTCTTCCTAAATGTAATTTTGCCCATTTAGCGCGGAGGAAATGGGTATTGGTAAATTCTTAAACGTCAAATTTTACAAAATCTGAGTTGTCTGAGTTTACGGATACTCTACTACGTTTTTACTCTCAGTCAAAGTTTAAATTCTTAAACGTTTAAAAAAAGTCAATTAAGCGTCAAAATTGTAGATTTTTTTTTTTACATGCAGACAGTCTGACGTAGTAATTCAGTAAATAAATTTGATGTGTTGAGTGACTATCATTACGTTAAAAATAATATAAAAAATATTTTTATTGTTAATTTTTAATATGTAAGTATAAAATTATTTTAAATCTAAAAAAAAATTTTTTTTTGTTTTGACGTTTACGGATGATCAAAATTCAAAGTCAATTACGGGTAAAAAGTTTACTAGATTTCTGTCCGTAAAAGTTTTAGCTTCAGACAGTTTGCAGACTAAAATCAAAATTTTGACGTTAAAGAATTTGCGGTATATGTACATATAATGCCATTTTGTTGTTACAAACAGTAATAACAAAACAACTGCTTAAATCACGAACTTAACCAATTTGTTAGTTCAACAGGACTCTCTTAAATTATCTCTTATAGTCCGCAATATAAAAATATCCTTTAATATTAAACTTTCATGTTAACCTTTGCAAGATTAATTAATGAACTTAAATATTTTTCGTTTCACAGATTAAATTAAAAAGGTTAACAAATACATTTTATTGCCGTCCATAACTTAAGTACGTACTAGGAAAAGTTGTAAATGGTAAGTATGCATTTTGAAGATAAATGGTCGAGTGTTTCTAACAGTACACTGCGCTTATTTTTCAAACTTGAACTTGCAGAGCCTTAATAACAAAAATAAGCAAAATTCTGTAGATATATATGTACCCATACACATATGAACTACAAAACCCTAAAATTTAATATTGGTACGAAAGGAAGTTTACAAATGTTCAAGCAATTTTATTTTAAGGATTGGTCAAAAAAGTAGTTTTATTCTTTGAAAAGTACTACATATGTACATACTAATGGCTGGATTCTTGTAGTAACTGCAATGGATACATATTTTTAGATACATACTCGTTGTACCAATTACATATTACATACATAATTAGATTAAAATATAACTGTATGTTACACAAACGCATTTAGGAACGTTACCTAAGAGTTTAGTTATTTTTCCAAATAGCCAAAATTATTTTTAAAATAAAATAAAATTAGTCAAGTGAACATTTCCAGAAGATTTTTTGGTAAATTATGTACATACATACATATTTAATGGACATGAACCGGTAAAAAATCAATATCTATTTATAAACATGATTAACAGGTAAGCTGCACTAAAAAGGTAAAAAAATATATGTAATCTTTATAGTAACAATTATCAATAGTTAAAATACATTCATTGCAATGCAATATTTGTAGATAATAGATATACATACATACATATATAATTTAATTGAAATTGGATTGGAAACCATAACTTAATTTTAATAATTCGATAATGTAGTCAATTATCGGAGTCGGTCGCAATTTGACCGAGGTCGTTTTTAATAAGTCGATTCAAAAAAAGTGAAGCTTGTAACCAAATTACTAGTATAAACCAAAAATGTAAGCATCTAACCAAAACAATGAATACATAAATATGCACTGTATGTAAATCTAGGTGTAAAACAAAACAAGTTTATAGTAAAATTTGAACCTCAAATTCTATATACATACATCTGAATTACCTACCCATGTATTCACATAATATGTTTTCTGTTGATGGCTATGTACAAATATATAAACCTACATACGAATTTATTTATGTACAATTATGTATTTCTGTTGAGCTACAACGATTTCCTTGGAGACGTGATGAGTCATAAAAATTTCATACTATTTTGTGTATTGTACATACGAAAAAATGGTGTCATCATTTTGAAGTTTCAATATTGTAACAAATTTATGACTTAGCGAATTTAACAATAAAAATAATAAATAAATAAGAAAGAAATACATAACATGCTTATACATCTGTACACATAATAATACGTATGTATATAATTATTTGATCAAAAGAAAATAAATGTACATATGTATGTATATAATTATTTCCATAATTAAACATCAAAATTTTAAAAAATATTTGTGTAAGTAATTATTTTCGTTAACTGTTGTATTAAAAACATGACTGTTATGAAAGAAAAAGAAAAAAAATTTTTTTTTCGCTAAATTTAAAATAGCTTTGAAAAGTTTACAAAATTAAAAAATTATAAAAATCTGTGGGTATCTGCATTTTTGTAAAACCTTATCATACCTCTTGAATATTTTTCCAATCTCAGAATAAATTTCGATTAATAAATTAGAGTATGTCGTCGACAAACCATTATACAATACGCTGTAACTTGACAAAAATTTGAAACTGGATAAAATAGGATTTTCTTTTTTTAATTCGGGTTAGGGTATGGTTGTACGTGCTCTAGCGAGAATATCAAACACTTTATTGTTTGTCGCCTTTAAATTTTTTCTCCTTTATTACCTTTGCCAAATAAGAAAATTGTGTATGCATATACTTATGTATGTGTGTATGTACATATTTTCAATCAATTTCAAAACTGTGTTGCATTCCTAGTGCTGTTAATATTGTTTTTCTTTGGATTTAATTTACATAAAAAATTTGTCTTCATATCGAACTTCTTTCTGCATATTTTAGATTTGGCAAATATAAATGCTTATAAGTTTTTAGAAAGCTTAGAACAATTAACCTAAGAGTGGTAACATAAGATGGTATCGCAACTGACCTAACATACATACACACATGTACTTATTTCAATCCATTTCTTGCAAATTTTTTTCCAAAAGAAAACTAACTTTTTACATTGTTGAAAATTTTAATCATCTGTAAAATTTTTATTTGCTTGAAATACATATGTACATAATTTGCACTCAAATTGTAGGAAGAATTGAATTCGTTTGGATTACAACTAATTGAAAAAAAGAAAACATTTCTTTTATATTGAAAAATTGTTTTTTTTTTTTTTAGAATTTATTTAAACTAATCACCCATACTTCTAAGAAATTATACAAAAGCCCTTATGTATTTGCAATTCGGGCAGGTTTTTAAAAATACAATTTTCGTCATTAAATTTTCATTGAATTTATCTTTCATTGTCTTTACTTTATACATAAGAAACAATAAGGATTTTAAATTTAAATGCCCTTCGAATGTTTTTTTGTTCTAATTTCGAAATGCTTCTCGATGGATTTTCTTTGCTAAAAAAAGTATACATAATAACAATTTTTTTTTTATTACAACAGCATGAATATGTAATTTACCTTGAAAGTTATTAAAGTTAATTCATATTTCGATTTTTATATTTATAAACCTTATTTTTTTAGATTTCCGATCATGTACATACATACATATGTATGTATGTATTTATGCTGAAAGCATAAAAAAAATTAATTCCAAAAGGATATTATTATAAAAAATCAGTTTACATAATATTTATTAGAGCACATTCAATTAGATTGAATATTTAAAACTTGTACAGGCTTTCTGCATCTTAGCTTCTAAAAGATTCGCCCCTCTTTTAGAAGCTAAGATGCAGAAGTCTAACATTTTAGCAATTCCTAAAAATCAATCCCTTTTGTTTTAAGTTTCGTCTCATTATTAGCCAAATTTCGATTTTCGGCAGGTTATTATATGCTTTCATAAAAGTGTCTTATCTATAAAAAATATTACTATTTATCCTAACCCACCTTCGTTCTTCCATTATATGTACGTTAGTTGACGTTTGCTCTAATTTTTGTTCTTATTCGAGAAGTATGTAATAATTATTTAATATAAATTTGTAAAGAATAATTAATAAGAATTGTACAAGTCCTGTATGTATGTATATATAAAAGATTGTTTTTTAAGAAAAGAATTTTCACTTCTTTAAGGAAAGTTTACGTGTTATATAGAATATTGTCTTCTCTATAATGAAAAAAGAATAATTAATTTTAAATAAAATATTGGTGTTAAATTGTAGGGTTTTTAAAATAGGTGATGATGAGATTTCCATAATTTTTGTACGACCTGCGCAAATAAATAGAAAAATCATAGAAATGGTACATACATATATGTTTGATGACACGCACTTAGTGAAAGTTTTTATTTAATTTTGTTCCCAACTCATGCGAAACACCCTGTATAAGCAATTGCATTATTCTATATGCAAATATATAAAGACAAAAACTTTCAAAATTTGTAGAGTTCGTATACTTAAGTATTAGAAGAAAGAATTTTACATATATTTCTAAAGAAAAACGAGACAGGATACACATAGTAATTTGTGTTAGCTTTACAAAACGTATACACGTCTTCTAAAAGTTTTT